GCCTGATAGCAATGGCCTCCAACCTAGTAGCAATGGCCTCCAACCTACTAGCAATGGCCTTCAACCTAATCACTAGCAATGGCCATGTCTTTTCAATATCATTTAGATTCTTGTAGATTGGTGGATGGTGTAGAGAAACTTGCAATCTTCCAGCCATCCTTTACAAGGTTGTAAGCACTCCCACAGGTTGTATGCTAGGAAAAGCCGTGTGGCTGCAACCAACCCGTTGAGCTAGGCATAGCCAAGATGCAAAGATAGTTGTCGACAAAGGTCCCATCAGCAAAGCGTACGAGGAGAGAAGACTTGCCAACACCTCACAGTGCCAAGCATTTCGAGGCACCTTAGATTCTACCTCTGGTCATTTCCCCATCTATTGATGTCTGTTGTGTCATTGCAGAGAGTGTCAGACACTGCCAAACAAAGGTCGCTGCTTGGGGGAGAACCAACTGTTTGCAAAAAGCACTGCCAAAAAGCAGAAGCGCAGCACACGGTTGGAGGCCATCGCTATTCGGTACGGCGAACGGAACAGCGCAGGTTTACGGATGCATCCAGGTTGGCCACGCCTGCATCACCAACTACCATGAACTTCAGCAGAAGGTCATAGTCAGCCATGTGCATAAAGGCAAACAGCAAATTCCAGACTACAGCTAACACAACTTCATCATACTTCATCTAGACAAGGCAATACAACCAATGAACCTCCAAAGAAGAACCACAAACTGCTCTCTGCTACTGTTTGAATACACTTGAATTGACCCTCTGCGCCCACAACACTGAAAAACCACCACTACTCATGTAACGACTCGAGCACAAAGCGTCACACAAAGCACCCCAATTCGCCCTTCACAAGTCTCCTCAAATCAATCGGCACAAGCGTTCACCGTAGCCATGTTCACCATCCTCAAAAGTCCCACTTTGAAATGGTTGTTTGCCGTGTGCATCTTCAGTTCGGTTCGGATCGAGGCCAATTCGATGATTTGGATTTTGAAGCCTGTCGGACGCAGAAACGCTATTTTTGTTCAATCTCCACCTGGTCAGGCCTGCACAAAGGACCAACCCTCTCGCCCAACCTCTTGCCCACACCACCAATTCCCACGCGGTTCGCGGAAAAGCTCTGCTGCGGTGGTGAGCTCAGTGGATTTCCCAAAACGTGGCCAAAGGCCACGCGAAACGCCGTAAGACTTTGCGGGCTCCCGGAACTCTGCACTGGTGCCCAAAGGGAAACGGAAAAGGATCCCTGACACACGGCATTTCTCTCATTCTGTACAACGGAGATGCCGAAAAGGACATGGCCGGTTCAAGTTCTGGCTGAATCCAAGTCGTTCAACACAAGCCCAGTAAAGCCCAGTTCCAACACTGTGTGCTTCAGTCTTTAAAGATCCGTCCTAGTCTGTAATCAACCCTTTCGGACTGGTGGAAAAGTGTTCTTTCCTCGTTGATTTTGGAATCCAAAGTCATCATACTCATAGAGCAATTATTTATCCATTTTGAGAGGCTAACTTTAGTCAAACGTTGAAGTCAGCCCTGGATAAAGAGGCATTTGTTCATCAATGGACACCCACAATTTCTTCCAAGGCTTGTACCACTAGTATCAAGCTCTGTGAGTTTATGTCTGACTTTTCAGCCCTGTCCTTCAGTCGAGGCAAAACTGTCTAGACACAGCACTGAACTTGTGCCACACGTCGACCAGCACCAAGGATGGTCCTGCGCGACGAAGGTCGCGCCACACGGACAATGCGGGACTCCACCGGGATGGTTCCCAATGCGTGACTGCCAGTGACTGCCATTCGACGACACAGCAAGGACCGCGCAGAAAAATAAAAAATGCGAAGGGAACAAAGATTGGATGATTGGACCCATGTCATACATTCTACCCCGAATGTTGGAGGTGAAAATGACAAACATTCTAATAGCCCATGTCATCTACTTCTACACTGCTTCAGTGCCCTGCTGGCCGCGTGGTCAGCTTGTCTCTTTTGGCCGGGTTGTGCTGCGAATGGTGCGAATCGGCTGCTTCTCACAACGTCTAGTAGCCACAGGGTGCAGGACAGGTGTAGCACCAACAGTAAATACAAATCCCCAACCCTACCCATGCCAGAATCTGACTCATGACCTTAGAGTGAAGTCCAGGAATCAGCGTGGCCGTTTTGGCCGCATAGCTCGGGAACTGCTCTGGATAGCGCTTGGCCAAATAATCGTCGGAGTTGGGAACCACAAACATGACAAAAGTCCAGATCATCATGATAGGAATGCTCAGAGCACAAGTGGTTCCACAAGCTAAGCCCCAGCCCGTGTAGGTAAAGAGGTCACCGAAATAGTTGGGATGAATACACCAAGCGGCCAGGCCCACGGTGTGTAGTTTCCCTTTGTTTTCAGGCTTGGCCTTCCATTGGAAACGGCCCACCTCGTAGGCAAGCGAATAGCAGGAGCCGCCCAGGTACAAGGCCAGCCCAAGGAGGTCGCGACCCTTGAAATGGACGTCCGATGTCATGGTGCAGTATCCAAACATATATGCCACCGTCGGGACAATGAGAACATAAACTACAAAGAGCATACAAAGAGTCCCTGGGCAAATCCATGTGGCTGTTTCTTGTCCCCAAATCTCAACGAGGGCCTTGATGAGAAAGATTGCTCCTATCAAGCACAGCACGGTGGAATGTTTCACAAAGTAGAAGTAGAGGAGCATTTCAGCGACCAAAAGAACTGAGCACAGACTTTGCCACGCTCTACGATTTTGCTCTCCACCAGTCCCTCTCCACTGAATCCACTTTCTGAAGTCTCGCTTCAAGCCACAACAGCATGTCGGTGTATCCTCCAAGAGTGGTTCTTTTGCTTGAGAACCCATGACGGCAACTGGTGGCCTGATACCAAGAACGGAACGGCAGCGCTGCTGCTGGTGCTGCGACTGAAATGGCTGGACGGTCAGGTCAGACGGTCAGATCGTCAGGCACGTGGTTCATGTTCTAATCTGACTGCTCTTAGCACTCTTCTGGTGCATTACTTTCTGTGCAACCGGCAAAAGACAACGAAGCAGCGACCATGTCGTTATTCTTCGAGGTGTTTGTTACAACGCGTTGCTCCTGGTTCCAATGGAGGGGTCTGGATCTTGCCGGGCAATGCGATCCTTGATCTCCTGTCATTACACCATGAAGCCCAAAAGAAAGAGTTACGTAAACTGTCCACTGTCCTTGGCCATCGCATGGAAGGCCTCATCTACATTGTGCCTCAAACTGTCAGGATGTTGAAGCGCTTCAGTGGATAACGACGGGATTCGTACAGAGCATAACGAAATAAAACGGTCCGGGATTCACGAGGATTCGGACATCTGAGGACCATACGCATGCTTGGCACTCGTCTCCAAGTATCGTAGACCCAGCTCTTCTGCCAGTTCCCTTGCTTCCTCCTCCCCGACCTGTTTTAACGGCTCAGGTGGCCCAACGGATGTCAGAGCAGACGTCTAGAGTTGGAGGCCGCAATTCGCGGCAGAAGGCCATTGCTATTAGAAATCAAACAACAACATGAAAAGGAAGACAGACAGGTTCAAGAGCTTCATCTCGTGCATCTTTTGCAATGTAAAATGCGAGTGGATCTTAATCAGCGAAGTTTGAAGCTATCACTGACGGTCCATAAGCGGCGTAGCGTCGGAACGGAAACCGCACCTTTTCTAGTCGCTTGATCCTTGAGCCAAAGTACATATGGTACATATATATATATATATACAAGTTGCACTGTACGTGTCACTGCACTTCCATTCGCACCCCCCATGTGAACGGCAACAATATGTTCCGATCACACACGAAAATTTAGGGATGTAAGTGCTACAAAAAGAAATTGTATGATTCGCCGCGAGACTCATATGAGGCTCATACTACAAAACATGCTGGACTAAAGCGGACTTTTACATATAAAGTGTGCAACTATGGCTCAGAACCTATGAAAAAAAAAATCGAATTGAACAAGTGAGACAGTCACGAGGCCTCGCTCAGTATCCACTCAAAAGAGCATCGCTTTGATGTAGATCAGAACTGGTGACTTCCACGTAGATGTCACATCGGCAACTGACTTCACACTTCTCAAAAGATATAGGTTTTGGTTTGGATACACCTACAGAACGGCAAGCCGGAGAGACAGTCGGTGATTGTCTTCCTTCCATTATGCTCATGGTATCAAATCAGATTGACGATTTGCAATGATACACTTACAGCGTTTCAGGTCAGATAGACATCCGGTGAAAGACTTCCTCCCTGGTTTGCATGGTATCCTCATAGTCATTCAAAGAAATCACCACTGGTGATAACCTCTCCATCCATGATGATCCCAGCTGCCCTGAGCATCCCACCGATCATCTTCTCCCTTCTTGGACTTTCCCTTGGACTTGCTCTTTCCCTTCCCCTTTTCAGAAGGTTGAGGTACTTCACGACGTTCTTGCGTTAGCGCCGGCCTCCAAGATGTTCCAGATTGGCCTCCTCCTTTGGAATGTCCTCGGGATGATGAAGAAGTTGTACCTTCTGCTGCATGTGCGTTGGCGGCAAGGTCTTCCTGCAAAGCTTGCTCAAACACATCGGTAGCACTGGATGGTGATTTATCACGTGGTCTGGCTTTAAGAGCAACCTTCGCCTTGTTCTCCTCTGCTGATGAGGGCCCGAGATTCTTAGGTGCTGTTGAAGGTTTTGGCTCCTCACTTGGTGCTGACGACGGCTTGGCCTCGGTTCTGGGTGTAGATGCTGGCTTTGCCTCAGCTCTTGACAAAGATGCTGCTTTCGCTTCAGACTTAGTCGTTGATGTTGACTTAGCTGTTGCCTTGGCTGCCTGCTTCTTCTTGCCCTGAATCTCCTTGGCCCTATCTCCAAAGCCTAGACGATTGGTAAGAGCTTGAACATGCTTATGTTCTACCACGCTCATCCATCTCTCTGTATGTCCAACGTTGGGGTTTCTGGCCATTGACTCTATGACTTCCTGAGCTTGTGGGGGGCAACCTGATCTCATGTTGATCAATGATCAACAGAATAGACTTCTCCCACTTTCTCTTCATTCTCGAGTACATGATGTCCAGAGGATCGATCACCTTGTGGTAGGGTGATGTAACGTCGGTTCTAAAGTAAGAATATGTCCGACAACCATAAATCGCATGGATGCACTTCTGTACCAATTCAGTCATTGCGCTGGCTTTCTTCGCTTTCAACTCCTCAAGCTGGGCATCAGTCAAGTCGGTGGAGTGTTCGAAGTTGCCATATTCCTCCTTGAAGGAGTTCGGAGTATGACCAAATGATAGGATCATGAGTGCTACCTTGCAAATGAATTGCTCTCCTCTGAATCGGTGCCAGGCCTCCTCAGTCGTAATATTGTTGTCGTTGGCAAAGGTTAACATCATATCATCTGTTGGATCCAATGGTCTCCCATCGTCATCGATTTCAGTGGAATCTCCTGTACCGAACTTGCTTATCACGTCCAGACGCTTCCTTTTCCAATTTGCTTGGAAGTCGGTAAGGCTGGTGCAATAGTAGCTCTTGTACATCAGGGAGATCATGTTCAGCACACATTTGACCACATACCTATCCATCAAACCCGATGCTTTCACGGAGACGTCCTGACAGTAGGCTCTCTCTTGATGCGCATAGATTCGAGGTTCCGGTACTCGACACTAGATGGGGAGATCTTCGTTGTCTCTTCCTTCTTCGGGATTGAACTCGGTCGCTCCATGCTGTGCATAGTATCCCGGTTCATCACGATCTGTCGGTCGATTCGCCTCCGGATGTAAGTCGTCGGTGACGTCTTCATCCTCGGGCTCACCATCTTGACGTTTCTTCCCCTCATATTGTTGTGTGCTCCTCTGGATCTCGATGATCACGTTTCGTTCGTCTTCATCTTCTAGATCAGAATCACGACCGTAGTCGATCTCGTCCTCATTGAAAGATGGGGTCTCGACATTGTCACTCTTGAAGTTTTCTGCACCATCAGACGGTTTGGAAGGATCTAGATTGTCCATGTCCTCGTCGTCGTCAGCTGCTTCAGTTTGAGCGATGTCTTCTTCCCAAGCCTTTCTGATCTCGTCCATAGTGGCCTGGTCCAAGGTATCTTGAACAACATCTTCAGGCTCCTTCTCTTCCTTCTTTTCCTCTTCATCGTCGGTCACAAGATCGACGGGTGAATCGGAAATGACAGTGTTGCGAATACCACACGAGAGTAGCCTGCCTTGACAAGATAGACACACAGACAAAGATGAAGAAGTCAAATGCATACATGATGGACACAAAATATTGCCATCCACGTTGCGATACCCTTCACATGTTCTGGAGATGATTTCGTCCCAAGTTTCCTCACTGATGGAATCCTCGATCAGCTCTCCATTGTCATCGAATTTCACTTCATCGATAAGGGACACGAGCTTTTGGACGTTGTCATCTGTCGCCGAGGCTGACTTCGTGACTTCGTCGGCTCTCTCGAGGATGGTATGCTTCTGAGCAACCCAAAGCCCATGACGTGCCGCTAGAACAACTTGCTCTCCAGTGCTTCCCAGCAGGAGTCTCCTCCATGCCTGAACGTGGTCGTCCCAATACCAAGCACCTCGTACACATCTCCATGGAACTTCTCTAAAAACAACAGTGTAGGAATTCTCCGAAATTCTCCCCCCAAGCTTCCTCAAAGTCATGATTGGAACATAAAGGCAAACGGGCATTCCCACTCTTGGCCATCTTGATCTCAGAATCTTTGATGATCGATCATCCCACGGCGCAAAGTGGTTGAAGAAAACACTACCTCTATATCCATCCGTTCCACCAGGGACAATTCCTAGTTTCATGATTGACTCAATATTGGAAAGCGATGTCATGTGAAAGCTTCCTCCAAGCTGCATTGCCACATTCTCTGGAATGAGATGTGAAGTCCACACAGGATATATTGACACATCCTCTTCAAGAATAGTCTCTCTTCCAGAATTGTGAGAGGCAACAGCTCGAATTGCACAAGGAACGATCCAACGTTCATGCTTCAGAAATGACGGTGCATCTGCGCTGTAATACATGAGGTTTGCCCAGTATTGCCTTTCCTCTTCGAGTGAGACATCCTCCTTTGAGATGCGAATGGCGGCAATCTGATAGCGCACTCTGTTCTGCAACTTCTTTGCATGCCACATCGCCTTGCATAAATATTGGTATCGCTCTGTCTTGGTATCTTGCTCACGTTGAGTGCCTGAGATAGTACTGATATTGACACCATCGTTGAAGACATAATCATATTCCAGGATCTCATCGATGTTCACCCATCCACCCTCATTGCACTTCGGGGACACATGAGGTTTTCGACCGCGGTGCGATTGAATCCCATTATGCTTTCCCACTCCATGCCTGAGTAGTCTATTGAGTCTATGGCTAATCTCGTTGACCCACTGACTCTCCTCGCTGGACTTGTCGATGCGAGTTGCTGGGTTCATCTTTGGTGGATCCGTGAAAGATGCATCTCTCTTCGGTCCATTCCAGTACTCCACATAGAATGTAACTCCATACTGTGGAATTATCTCGATGTTTCCTCTATCGCAAGCCACCTCAATCTGCCGATACCCAACCTTTTGAAATTGTTGTGGGTCAGGAGCAAGGTCCTTCACTTTGGGCATCTTTATTCCGAGTGCTGCAGCCTCCTGAATAAGTGCATCAAGTTCCCTCTTTCCATCGGGACCTGATCTATCAACCTTGTGATTTGCGACCCTGTATTCTCCTCCTTCTTTGTCATCGGCAATGTCAAAGAGGTCGACGGGCTCTTTGAATCTGGTGACGAAACTGGCGTTCCCAAAGGCCTTCTTGGTTGCCTCGACCGCTTTCGCGTATTCCTCTTTTGCAGAGTCTGACGAATGTGGTCTACCTTTGGCTCTCGGAGAGTAAGGTGGTACCTTACTTCCTAGTTCCGGCTCTTCTTCGGGAAGTTCAATATCTTCATCATCCACATCCATGTAGTCCTCGTCTTCGACGTCTTTGGATGACTTTGCTTTCCTCTTTCGGCTTTCAACATCACGTCGGATGATTGCCTTGTCGTCCTCGGTGAAGCACCTGCGCATAGTGTCCTCCATGTAAGAAAATGATTTCATCAACTCGTTCTTCTTCTCAGTGTCGGGACAAATAGCCAGGTGATGTTGGTTTGAACCACAACAATAGCACACCATTTGGCTCTCTGCGCGTGCTCTGACCCTTCTGAGGTTGTCATAGGCGGATTTCCAGCTGGAAGCTGTTGCTGTACCTTGCCCACTGCGCTTGGCAGCTCTTTTCCGTTCCTCAGTATCTGGATTCGATGTCGGGTAGTGTGACCATGTTTTCGTCGGAGATACTGAACGACCTTCCCCTTCCTTGTAGTCTTGCGGATCAAGCTCAGGCGTAGGTGGTTCAGGCTCCTCGACTCCTGGAGTGGTACTCGCAGGGTCGGCTT